CTATGTATTCAGCATTGCTATTTTTCCCCTTTTTAGTCTGTTGCTCAAGTCCTACGTGATGAAGATTGTCCTTCGATGATCATTCCAAGCAGGCCTTGTGAGTGGTTCTACTTCTTACACACGTCTTAGCAGATTGTGAGCATTCACATTAAAGCACAACTCCAGTCTGAAGTATGTTTTTCATAGTGGCAAGGTCACTATGATCTGTCTGTTATCTGACAGTCACATCCATTCAATTTTAAAGAGTTTGAAAATATAAATATTTACTAATATTTCTTCTAACTGTCATCTGGAAACATTCAGCCTGTGATTAGGTCAAGCTGAGCTCTTTCTTGCTCTTGAATCATCACTGATAACAAAAGTTTTATGGCTCAAATTGTGCCTTCCAAAATATGTGAGGAAGGAGCCCCACTGGCATCAAGAAAATGTTACGAACGTGGGAAGGCTCATATGGGCAGCTGTTGAAATTCACACGATACTTCAGCCCAGTCGCAGTGCAGCTCTTTTCAGCTGCAGTGCTGGCTATGCAGGGAGGAATTAAGGGGTCGAAAATGTTTTTGTCACTATGGTCAGCACATATTTCTGAGTAGATAACCACAGATCTCAGAGCTCATCTCACCTGCAGAAATGTAATACTGACCCAGAAGCTTATGCAAATAAGAAATTGCTGTTTATTTTTGCCATGCTTTAAAATGGACATCATTTTAAATGGACATCATCCCTGTAAACCAGGGACAGGTTATTAAAAGAGAAAATATGGATTCGGTTTTAAAAACATACTAAGAATTCGTATTAAAACTGATGTACTGACCCAAAAGACAGAAAATAATTTGCAAAGAAACCATTATCTTCTTTTAGACTACGACAAAGGGCAAGGATTACAGAGGGAGGAAAAGAGGCACATTACTTACTTATTTAGTCAGAATAATTGCTGGGGTAGATATACCAGACTGAATATTGAACTCTGGCATCAATATTTATTGGAATCTGATAAGGAAAGCACTGAATGGTTATATAAAGTACAGCTGTGTAGGAGGACTGACCTGCTCTTCCCTTTGGAATAAAACACAGGACTTTTTGCAGCAAAGAACAGGGCAGCATAAATGAGTGTGCAAACATCTCTCCTTTTCTCTCTTTTTTTATAATCTCCTCCTCCCTCTGTCTAACCAATAGTTTCTGTCTTTTTTCCATTGCTTCCTCTCCAAGAATATCTAGTGATAGTGGCTGGTACTGGAACTCATCTGGCATATGAGGAACTGACACTTGCTGTTATGTATTGTTTTGGGTGCTAGTACCATTCGTGACCAGTCAAGTTGAGTCTGTCCCTGGGGGCTGGTCTGATTATTACCATGAAATGGCATATTTGAGAAGCTTCAGTTTTTGTAAGCTGCCCAGATACTGACAGAGAGTAAGTTCCACATTTATTACGAGTTCTTAAACTTTTACATATACTACTGTTGTTGTTTGGTAGGACCTAGAATCTCCAGTTGAAATCTGTGATCCTACCCTACCTGAGCTTGAACAAAAAGTCCCAGAGCATAAAAATCATAATCTTGAATGTAATGGCTCTTCCAAGATTTGTCAAAGTCAGCATATTGTTAGATAATCAGTTGACTGCAAATCTGAAATTATTTAAATATGTTATAAAAGAAAAATGATACAAGTGGAGCTTGACGTGAAATGTAATATGCATACTTTGTTTTGATACTTTGAACAGTTCTTAAGAGATGCTTCCCAGACTTCTCCACAAAGAATGGTGTGTTGACCGTGGCAAATCAGACTACGTTCAAAGATGGAAGAGGGAAAACAAGAAATGTAACTGATCTCAGGGAAGCTGCAAAGTAGGTTTTACCCTTTTTCAGTGTTCATTTGTTGGATTATGAGACTGTGCAATAATTTAGAAATTCAAAAATAATCAGAATCTGTTGTAACCGATGGCTGAGAGTACCCAAGCAAGACTTGGTAGTAAGTGGTCTCTCTGTGCCTGAGCACTTCCAAATTTCAGTTAAGGAAATCCAGCACTGTGGTGTGCAGAAAGGAGCAAAAAGTTTTAGTCTGATTGTCTCAGTAGTTTTCATTTGGTTAAATCATTCTTGTTGTTTTTCCTCTAAAAAATTAGTTTTGCTAGGAAAGTTCAAGATGCAAACCTTCTACTGCAGGATTCAGGCCAGCCAGTGATGGCCTTGGCTACCCTCTTCTGTGGTGGCCTTTCTACTACCATAGGTTGTCCTTTGGGCATCTCACCTCATCACGGTACTCCTGCTTTTGGGAAAAAACAGTGTACTGGGCTATTCTTAGAAAAAAAATAATACAGGCAAGCACTTTGCAGGGTAGGAAAACAGTTCCATAAAGTAAACCTTTTGCTTCTCTGAGCTGCTTTCTGGTTCTATGCTTTTAGCAGTCCTAGAGTCATAACTGTTTGGCCATTGTTACATTGCAGACAGATATGAATATACTACACTCTGGCAATAAAGCCTTTTTAATAAAACCTTTTTAATAAAATTTTTTTCACTAATTGCAGAGAGACTCTTATGTAGTTTTTTTCTTTGCTATAACTGTGATTGATGTTGGCTTGATGACAGAACTGGAACAGAAGAATTGTAATATACTTTTATCACTAGCAAAGATATTTCAAAGTCTTCCACTGAGCCTATTTGTTGTTTAAATACAGTCTGCTTTTCTACCTGAAGCAACCTTTTCTTTGATTTGTTTTTTCTCAGCGGCATCAATAATGTCCTGGATGCAAGATCAATTGGAGTGAAAATTTTTGAAGACTATGCCATTTCTTGGTATTGGATTTTAATGTAAGATTTTTATGGGTATTTTTTATTCTTCCAAACTCACTTTGGAGCATACAGGGAATAAAAAAATATATCATGTATGTGTTTGGTACCAATCCTACTTTAAAACTCAAGGAGCAACTGTAATTTTCTTTCATCACATGATAATAAAACTGTTGTGGTTCTGTGCGTGAGATAAGGATAGTACAGCATACGTACATAGAGCATCAGTTGATCTGGGGTAGCTTTTTAATGTCCTGCCAGACAGAAAATCAGGAGGTGCTGTGTTCGCTTGCAGGACCCATCTGCATGGCAATTCCAAAACTCAAAAATCTGAATTAAGTGACTTTCAAACCAGTTGCAGTTGCTAAGTGTCATTAGTGTATATATATATAAACCCCACATAATTTCTAAATTCATATTAGCAATATATAGTTAAATCCATTATAATCCGTAAATCCAATATAAATCCATAACTCCAATGCAGCAGGCAAAGCAACATCGAGAACAGAAAGTATTGAACAGTATTAACTTCATCTTGCAATTAATACTAGCTAATCACCAATTAATTAAAACAAATTTGAAACAAAAGAAGTAACTACTTTGCTGAAGCAAATATGTAAGTATTTGTGCATTCTTAACCCATTAATATTGGTTTTGATGGACCAGAGTGTTCAATTTAAACGGGAACAGAAGTCATTGCCAGGTGAGAGCCTGTAACATGCACATGTTAAGCATTAGTCAAGCCTGAATGCAAATCCATGACAATAAATACATACTTTAGATAATAATATGGAGAATTACTTCAGAAACATCAGTTAAGCTTTTAAAGGTGTTCAGTCACTGGTGGAGGAACAGCTTACTCATAGTCTGATACCATGCTCACAGTCGTTAGTGGCAGGAGACTCGGAGTACTCTGTACTGTAGATTAGACCGTGGCCTTAAAAAGACGGGGGGTTGTACAACTGGCATAAGTGACAAAAAGGGCCTTGTATTAGTCCCATTCAGCCAGCCTGAGAACCTAGTGCTTACAAATATTTCAGGCTCTGCCCTGTGAGACTGTCATATATAAACTATTGGTTTGTAATAGCAGATAATAGCCAGAAGAATGTATTTCATAACAAAGATTTTGAAGTACATTTTTACAAATCATTCTCTTATGTGAGATGAAGTGACCCTCATTTGGAGTAACAGGGATACAAGAAAGTGAATAGATTCTCACACTCGTTTTCCCTGTGTTTGTTTCTTCTCTTTCTAGTGGGCTGTTCATTGCGATGATGCTGAGTCTGCTCTTCCTTGTGTTATTGAGGTTCACGGCTGGGGTTCTCTTCTGGATTTTCATCTTTGGTGTGATTGGAATTATAGGTTATGGTAAGTGTAATCTTCTAGCTTCTGAGGCTATCTTTCTTTATTGCTTAAGTTTGGGCAAGGAAAATCAGTAGTTACATCAATTAAATGGTAGAATGAATGCCTACTTTGAGACAAAGTTAAGTGAGAAGGACTTAAGTGACAGCAAAATGTAGGAAGAATCCAGCTGTGCTGATACTTAGCACCAGATGTAGTAAACTGCCTTATTTACACACAGTTTGCTCAGTGTGTCATCACTTGTACCAATATTATAATTGACTAGGCTCATAGTGATGCATTTTTGGGTTTTGCTTACCTGATAGGCTGAAGACAAAACGCTTGGCTTGTAAAAGATTTTTGTTAAAATTTGTCTTTGCATTCTTCAGAAACACTCATGTTATATTGATTGTTTTTTAAAAGGCATCTGGCATTGTTACTGGGAATATGATCATCTTAAAGGAATACCTGGATCTGACCTCACTGTTTATGATATTGGATTCCAGACAGACTTCAAAGTGTACCTGCAACTGAGGCAAACATGGTTAGCATTTAGTAAGTGCCCTTTAAATTTGGTATCTGTTAATGTATATTCAGGAGAATTTATCAGTGTCTTGCTACAGTTTCTGCCCTGTTAAATCTCGTCCTCTACATATGGTGCCTAGAGAAGCAAACAATTCCATTTCTCTGTATTGTATAAAAATGTGCACTCTTAATGAAAAAGTTGTCTCTTCATCTCTTTTTTTTTTATTATCTAAATGCTACAAATGAGCAGCATTATCATATGAACATGCAAAATGCTTGTTTATGAAAAGTAGAATTTGTTAAGGATGAATTGTATCTAAAGCTAGATACTGCAATTACATTAAAGTAAATTTTTATCTTTGTCTGAGAATTATTTGTTCCATTTTTCTTTTAAAAGTATAAATGCTAATATCAGGGTCCTGCAAGTTCTGACTAGCTCTCTGCATATAGAACTTCCTTACAGTGGAACTGCATGAAGTGGATTGAAGTTTGAGAGGTGCAGTTGGAGAAAGAGAACTGCTCAAGTAGAGAATTTTGTGGAGTTCATGAACAGTAGTGTAAAATACAAGGGAAAAAAATTACAGAGGTTTGGTTCTTGATAAATCTAACTTTTTTGTTTGTTTGCTTACAGTGATAATACTTTGTGGTGTTGAAGTCATAATCATACTGATGCTGATCTTCCTAAGAAATCGGATCCGGATTGCTATTGCACTGTTGAAGGAAGGTAGTAGGTATGTTTGTCTGATTTTAATACATTTTGAATTCTGTTAAATGATCTCTAGATCAGGCTGGAACATGGCAAATAGATGAAGTTCACTGTAGTACTACTGTTGATAAAAGTGGAGTGGTAGAAATGACAAAGTCAAGATCTGAAGACATTTGAATAAAGTTCCTGCAGTATTCTGAGATCCCAGTGCTAGATTATGTTACGACTGTCAACAAGGATCTCAAAGTAAAATTGCTAGAAGAGGACTGATAAAAAGCTTGTTTCTGGAATTGTTGTAGCTTATTGATATGTTTTGTTTCTTTCATAGGGCTATTGGCTATATAATGTCTACACTGTTCTACCCCATCGTCACCTTCATACTCATTGCAATTTGTATTTCCTACTGGGCTGTGACAGCTGTGTATCCTTCCGTGTACCTCTCTGGAGCAAGTCTTCTGATCTGCAAGACTAGATAATTCTCTGCTATTTCATGTTAATCAAAGCAGTGTTAAGAGGGTTGTTTGGTCACTTAGCATGTCATGTGCTGATGCACTCTTCCTTGCCACACGATTGCATGTGATGTACAAATTAGTGCATTTAATCTAATTAAAAAGAACTGGACTAAAATTTATGCCAAGACAGGGGGATCATACAAGGTATTGTGTACTACTAAAGGTTGACTTCAGGGACTTAAAAGGGCCCTCAGCAAAGAGTGAATATGGTCTTTAAAGTGCTGTGTGCTCTACAGGCCTGGTGTTAACGGTCTCTTAGTTAACTGGGGGTGGAGTGGGCTCTGTATGTGTTTTATTCAGAAAAGTATGAGAAAGGAGTGAGAGAATATACAGTGCACTGTCTTCTCTGAATTGTCTGACAGCAACCACTGTTTGTTCCCAAACAGCAAGGGCTCGGTAAGGATTAAGAAAGGGAAAAACTGCTATTTGAAAACCTCTTGTTCTTTCATTCACAAGGAGGGTCAGAATGTTAATTCATCCTTATGCTCTATATCTACCACCAAAATACAAACTGTCAAAGAACTACTGCATAGTCTGCCTTGTCAAAGATAAATATGCAGGAGAGATAAAGACAACTTTCAAGGTTATACCCTCTACCCATTCTGGTATGGGGTTATTACAGCTCTGGGATGGAGTTTGCTTTAGTTCTCTAAGTAAAAAGAGTATTCAGTCTTGTCTGTCAACCCTTCAGATACATCTCTGCATAGCAACAGAAGTTTTCGTGTTACCTGAATAAGTTCTTTAGAGCTCTTCGCCCACTGCACAATCCCAAGTTGCTCAAAGCCTACAGTTCTGTGATTCCTCCTTAAAATATTTCGTTCAGTTTTCTGGCCACATCAGGAGAACCTGTGTATAAAGTCATGGCTAATCAAACACTGTGCAAGTATGCAAACCTGACTTGTGACCCAGAGGTAAGTGTAACAAATATTTATCTATAGTGAGAGCTATACTAGTTGCATTTCCTAATCACTGTTAAAAGGCAGTGCTGGTAGAAAATGTGCATATTTTAAGTAATGATTCCTCATGTTAAATCTGAAAATATTACCTAGTGTTCAGGTAACACTTCTTTGTTCAAAGAATTTTACAGACATAAACTAGTTTTTCTGCTAAATAGTCCTGTAAATATTAACCATTCTCATTTACAGGGTGAGAAAGGAAGATACAGAAATGAAAGTTTATTGGTATTCTTGAATTCATGAGGAGTCTGTTTTGTGATCTTCTAGAGGCAGTGACAGTGTTTGAAAGCTGTGCCTCAAAGTTGCCTGAGGACTAGCCGTGATTTGAAGCAGAAGCTTAGCTTCCTTTGGCACAGTAATTACCTTTAGGAAGCTCAAGAAATATTTGTCTTGTTTAATCTAAATTTTGCCTTCAGTCAAAAATTTTTACTTGACTGGGTTTGAATTTAAGGATGTTTATAAAACTAGAAATATTTATCAAATGTTATGCACCTGGGGAAGAATAACCCCACACCAGCACAGGCTGGAGAGCAGCTCTGCAGAGAAGGACCTGGTGGTCTTGGTGGATGACAAACTGTCCCTGACCAGCAGTGTGTCCTGGGGGCCAAGAA